GATTGAACTTTAACAATATCTGCAATACATTTATGTTAGTTCTGTTCTGTTTACCCTGGGGGGTTATTGCTGCTCTCCTTGCTCTCATCCATGCTAGGCTGCATGGATGCGCAGGGAGTTCTTGCCCAGAACGGAACCATACCGCCAATCCAAACTGTATGCTAATTGTCAATCATCTTTGATAATAGTGGTCCTGACAGAAATGATTTGCATGTTTTCAAATGAACTGTATGTCAGAGTCCAGTGGCTCATTATCTAACTATGCTTCATATGTGGACGCATCAAACTCTCTCAACTCTTGGACTGTGGACTTTATCTAAAAAATTATAAAATAAATAAGATTTAAGATTTACTTCCAAAACACTCTAGTGTGTCTCTAACAGGCTGCTGTCTCTGGGAATTATATCTCGACAAAAGCGTCTGTTGTGCTCTGTGCCAGATAAGTATGCTGCTTTAAAAAAAGGAAGAAAACCAATTAAAATGTAAACTAAAATAACATGATATATAAAAAATTTGTAAATGTGTATGTGAATGTAAATGTGGGCATCTAAATTTTGACATCTAATACAGAGTGTTATACCATGTCATACCTCATTATCTAATAGTCTAATAATGCTGTGCTTGTGCAGCCTGCTCAAAAAAACTGATAATCCAAGTCAATTCGACAGATGAATGTTTCTGGAAGGAAAGTAGCTCAACAGTTCCAGGTAGATGTGAAATATACTGCTAACATGACTGTGTGATACTGCATATTTATTATCTGGAAGCACTTGTGACGTGCATTTCTGTTTTTCTTTCAGATATACTGTAAAACAGAGATGTCTGACAGTTCATGAACCAACAGGACTTGTCAAACTAAATATCTCTTCTCTTGGTAAAACCCGCTTGTATTTGATCTATAAACCATTCTTGAGTTCAAAGCTCTTTAAAAAGTATTTCTGCACAAATGCAAATATTCTCTGTGGTTTCAGGACAATGCAGATCATACAGTTTCAGCACAGCAAAACATAGGGGAGCATTATGAAATCAGAATGAATGAGACGGTTGAAGGCATTAAACTGTGGTTATTGACAAATGATAAATGTCTGCCATCACTTCTGAATTCATCAGGTGTGTGTCGTTCTAAAATAGAGTGTTAAGGTTGAAGGTTGTGAGTTTGTTGTTCTTTTTAGTACACAACAACCCCTACAGACCCACACAACACCACATGAGAACAAAGTTGTCCACGATGATTGATCACTGATCAATGCTAACCAAAATCAGATCCTAACACACTTAAGAGCACAATTATCTACAAAACAAGCTCTTTAAATTGAGTCTGAATGTTCATTGTCCTGTAAGCTCTGTAATGAGTTCCCGAGAAAGAGCAGATCATGGTACAAACAGAGTCTATTTTAGATTAGTTATATTTAGTAAACATTATTATAAGTTCATCTCTTCTCTTTTACAGAAATTGTGACTTGCCAGGGTAGCATAATAAGCATCAGAAGCATAATTCCACCGACAGGTAAGATAAGATTCATCCACTGTTTTTAATTTCAGTTTATGTCTTCAATTAGGGCAGTTAGGGCAGGAGAGTTAGTTATTTAACCGAATAGTGTAAGAAGCCACTATTGAATGATTTAAAAATATATATATTTTTATGTGCATTATTTAATTTACATCATTATCTTGCGTTATATTCTCCTGGACGTAAATAAGGAAGAAAGGAATGTTGCACTGATGAATGTAGAGCTTAAATACTAAACACAACAGTTTTCATTATTAGACTATATTATGTTAATATCTAGACCAGCATTTCTGAACGGGTTCAGAGAGGTTTGTTTAAGTAAAGTTTTCACTAAACATTCAAGACAGAGCAAGCTGGAACTTTTAACCACTTGCATAAGAATATAGCAGGGCCAGCATAAGCAGTTGTGTGATAGGGGCCCGTGTTACTTAGAATTTATTATTTTTATTTTTTTCCTAGCAGAAATATTACAATACAAGATGTACTTATGAGAGTGTGATTCACTTCAGTTAAACAAGGAATAGGGGTAAGGAGTAAGACAAGTCATGTTGTTTTAATTCATAACCCACTGCCAAGTGTTTTGAATAAAACAATAATCTCACTAAATTTTATTACATTTCTCTGAAGTGAATTGATTTAAATCTTCTAAAAGTTCTAAAAATTGAGTAATAAAAATCATAATAAGGTAATTATTTACTTTCTTTATTGAAGGGAAAGAAGGAAGCAGATACATTCTGCATTTAAATGAGTGAATGGATGTGTCATGAATATGGACTGTCTGTGTGTGTTTTCCCTGGTGTGTGACATGTCCATATTTGTTTGTTCCGGTTCCTGTACCCATTGTGTGTTCATTGTTTCCAGGTGTGTCTCATTATTAGTTCATCCTCCTCACCTGTCTGCCCCTCGTTATCTGCCCTATTTGAGTTCTAGCCTGTTCTGTTTTCCCTTGTCCGGTATTAAACGTCAACTCCGTGCTACGTGTGTGTCTCCTTGCTACCCTGTGTGTTCCCCGGGTTGGAATATTAAAGACTGTTTTTTGGTGTTAACTCCTCGTCTCCTCGTTCCTCACTCCAACACAATAGGCGAGTGTGACAGAATACCGGACCTTTAAAATAGTTTATTTTCATCTTCCCCTTCGTTTTTTACAGTGTTTGTTTTCCATTTTTCCCAGTGTTAAAAAAGTTTTTAAAAGTTTTCTGTTTATCCCCGTGTGAAAGCCCACAAAGACCTTTCCCTGTTGGAGTATGTGGTTGAGTTCAGCCAGCTCGCCTTTTTAACGGCGTTTGACGACTGAACTCACTGTTCTGGGGCTAATTACCTCCCAGACACCACCGGACTAAGCTGTAGAGAAGCTATCATCTGGTGTCTGGAGAGCGTCTATCTCCGATCCAGAACACAGCCAGACCCAGAGCCCAGCCCACCATCTCCCCGCTGCACGGAGCTTAAGCCCGAGCCCACCAATGATGGAGAGCCAGAACCCACTGCGACCGACGAGCCATCGCCAGAGAGAGCGACAATGCTGAGGATCGCCCCGGAGCCCGAGCCTGTGACGTCAGACCAGGTGCAAGAGCCGGCTACAGAGCTCGCCACAGGGGAGAGCATCATGGACAGTGAGAGCGCAGAGAGGAGCTCCGCCCCCTGCATCGTGGCTGAGGGTGAGCAATTAATGGATCTGGGAATGTGGAAGGCTGAAAGGACTCCTGTTCCTGAGTTTAGCCCAGAGAGGGCTCCTGTTCCTGAGTTTAGTCCGGAGAGGGCTCCAGTTCCTGAGTTTAGCCCGGAGAGGGCTCCTGTTCCTGAGTTTAGTCCGGAGAGGGCTCCAGTTCCTGAGTTTAGCCCGGAGAGGGCTCCTGTTCCTGAGTTTAGTCCGGAGAGGGCTCCAGTTCCTGAGTTTAGCTAGCTCCCTCCTCTCCGCCGTGGCCCATCAGTCCACTGACTCTGCTGGGCTCCCTCATCCCTCTGGCTCCGCCTTGGTCTGTCGGCGACCATCCGTCGCCTCAGGACTCCACTCCTCCGGCTGTGCCTCGTCCCTTCGTCCCTCTGGCTCTATCAGGCTCCTCCATCCCTTCGGCTCCTCCTCAGTCCACTGTCACTCCGGCTCCACCGCGGCCTTCTGGATCCCCGCCTCCGCCTCGGTCGCCGGAGCCATCTGCTCCGCCTCGGCCCTCTGGATCATCCCCGGCGCCCTGGCTCATCGGCTCTCCGTCTCTGCCTCGGGCTCCTCCGCCACACTCCTGTTCCTGAGTTTAGCCCAGAGAGGGCTCCTGTTCCTGAGTTTAGTCCGGAGAGGGCTCCAGTTCCTGAGTTTAGCCCAGAGTGGGCTCCTGTTTCCCCGTACTACCCAGAGAGTGACTCAGTTCCCGAGTTCAGCCCAGTCATTCCTCTGTCAGTCTCGCTCCCTGTGCTGGGAGTCGCAATTTGGTGTGTGTGGGTGGCGCACACCAGCCCTGAAAGCCTAGAGGCTCACAAATACACACCCGCCCACCCACCCGCTCCTGCCTCCTCCACCGCTGTCGTCTGGCAGCCCCGTCGGCTCCACCGTGGGTCATTATCATGGCTGTGGCCTGGGTCCCGCCTGGCTCCTCATGCTCCAAGTCCCTCCTGTCATCTCCCTGGCTCCTTCCTCCGTCTGATACACCCTGGCTCCTCCTGTTTCCTCCTTGGCTCCTCCCCATGTTGTTCCTATGGCGCGAGGAATGAACATTGTGTGTTCATTGTTTCCAGGTGTGTCTCATTATTAGTTCATCCTCCTCACCTGTCTGCCCCTCGTTATCTGCCCTATTTGTGTTCTAGCCTGTTCCATTCTCCCTTGCCCGGTGTTAAACGTCAACTCCGTGCTACGTGTGTGTCTCCTGGATACCCTGTGTGTTCCCCGGGTTGGAATATTAAAGACTGTTTTTTTTGGTGTTAACTCCTCATCTCCTTGTTCCTCGCTCCAACACAGTAGGCGAGTGTGACATGATGTGTGTGACCTGATTTGACGGAAGATCAACCACTATTACACCACTGTCACACACCACATCTCACATTCCAACTACAAGTTTCACATCACATACGACAACTCCCGAGCCAACTATAAATTTCACATCACATATGACAACTCCCGAGCCAACTACCAGATTCACATCACATACAACTCCTGAGCCAGCTACAAGTTTCACATCACATACGACAATTCCTGAGCCAATTGCAAGTTTCATATCACATACGACATCTCCCAAGCTAACTACAAGTTTCACATCACATACGACAACTCAGAATCCAACTACCAGTTTTACATCACATATGACAACTCCCGAGCCAACTACCAGAGTCACATCACATACAACTCCTGAGCCAGCTATAAGTTTAACATCACATACGACAATTCCTGAGCCAATTGCAAGTTTCACATCACATATGACAACTCATAATCCAACTACAAGTTTCACATCACATACGACAACTCCCAAGCCAACAATAAATTTCACATCACATATGACAACTCCCGAGCCAACTACCAGATTCACATCACATACAACTCCTGAGCCAGCTACAAGTTTAACATCACATACGACAATTCCTAAGCCAATTGCAAGTTTCACATCACATATGACAACTCCCAAGCCAACTATACTGTGGCGAGGGGGGCGTGGTTCAGCGAGGTCTGCAGCGGGAGAGAGGGACGGGAGACGAGCGGTGAGTAAGTAGGTCAAGTGCAAAATGATGAACACCTGTGTCTGATTGCAGTAATTAGCCTGGAGAGACCGGATAAAACGCAGACTGGAGAACGTGGTGGGGAGAGAGAGACTGGGACTCATGGCCATCCCTTAGCCGGAGGAGGAGAACTGACTGAACTGAGTTTATGCCCTGGGCAGATTGAGAACGCGCTGGAAGAGCCCCGTTTGTGTTTTGTGGAACTTTAAGTAAAGAAATAAAAGGGCCACGAGTCTCCAAACCGCCTACCCGAGTCACTTCCTTCTTCCCACTACGAACTTTGTTACACTGGTGCCGAAACCCGGGAAGGAAGTGATAACGCCGCCGCCGTCATGTAGAGACTGGGACTCGTGGCCATCCCTTAGCCGGAGAAGGAGAGCCAACTGAACTGAGTTTATGCCCTGGGCAGAGTGAGAATGCGCTGGAAGCGCCCCGTTTGTGTTTTGTTGAACTATAAGGAAAGAAATAAAAGAGCCACGAGTCTCCAAACCGCCTACCTGAGTCACTTCCTTCTTCCCACTACGAACTTTGTTACATATACATTTCACATCAAATATGACAACTGCAGAGCCAACAAGTTCCACATCACATACAAAAGCTCACAATCCAACTACCAGTTTCACATCACATACGACAACTCCCGAGCCAACTATCAGTTTCACATAAATTACGACAACTCCCGAGCCAACTACAAGGTTTCACATCACATACGACAACTCCTGAGCCAAGTACAATTTTCATATCACATACAACTCCTGAGCCAACTGCAAGTTTCACATCACATACAACTGACAATCCAAATACAAGTTTCACATCACATACAACTCACAATCCAACTACCAGTTTAACGTCACATACGACAACTCCCGAGGCAACTACAAGTTTCAAATCACATATGACATCTCATGGATATACTGATCCCTCAAAGGCATCATAAGTGTGCAGTTATCAGTGGATATCAAGTCTAAATCCAATTACACAATACCATGTGATTCAATCTATTTTACAGAGAAGCCTTGGACAATCTGGAGTCTAAGATGGAAGAGATGGGAAAAAGCAATAAAAGCAATGCAATGATTGTCATGGGGGATGCTGTTGGTCTTCTTCATGTACAAGCCAAGAACACAGATGCCAAAGAGATCAACATGTGCTACTCTTCAAATCATGCTATGGTAAACCTAAGGGCTGAGATGCATTAAAACATGACATGATTGGCATGATTCTTCAGTTATCATGGCAATTTTTCTTTTCACAGGTTGTTGAGAGCCAAAATGACCTGAATACAGACTGTCTGGTCTATAAAGATTTCCAAGGAGGCTTTTTATAAATCACGTCTTGAAAACAATGGAAGTGTGTTTGTTGGAATTCTACGGTTCAAAAACATAGGAAACAAGGTATTGTATGCTTCTATGATTTTTTTAAATATTTTTTTTATTAAGTCTTGTATGGAAGATTCTTAAAATATTCTTCTTTTGGACAAATGTTTCACACATTCACACACATTTATATTTGATTCAGGGTTGCTCTCTTGGTTTCTGATTTAGGATGAAACTAAAAATCAGACTGTTTTAAACAATGAAGTTTATGGAATACCGTTGAGGGCCAATATTGCCAACCTTACTTACAATATTGAGATGTTCTTTACAAATAATGATAAGGTAATGAATAATGATATTAATAATAATGGCCCTTGTCTATCATGGCCTCCTAATAATCCCCTACAACTTGATTGTCTCTATGACTCTCTCTCCTCTCCACCTATAGCTGGTGTGTGGTGTGCGCACTGGCGCCGTTGTCCTGTGGCTGCCGTCGCATCATCCAGGTGGATGCTGCACACAGGTGGTGGTTGAGGAGAGACCCCCCCACATGATTGTAAAGCGCTTTGGGTGTACAACAATACACAATAAAGCGCTATATAAATTCCTCATTCATTCATTCATTCATTCATTCATTCATTCATTCAATATGCACCAGAAGAATGCTCCATGCTGGCCTCATTCACATGGTTGATCATTCAAGCTCTTCATTCAAGCTCTTGAATTGAATTGAATATGTACTTATGGCTCATCAGACAGAACGTCACCCTCACAAACTATATGAGGAAGAGAACCGTGTTGGGCTGGGGTGAGTTATACACTCTCAGAAAAAAATGGTACAAAAGCTGTCACTGGGGCAGTACTCTTTCAAAAAGTCATATGTACAGTTTAGGCATATGCACCTTTTAGGGGTAAATAAGGTACAAAAGTGTAACTTTTGAAAGGGTAACACCTATTAAGAAAACAAAACTGTTTCAAACCATTAAGTCCAATTGTAAGTTCCAAATAAAAGGAAAATATATTGCACACGAGTCATGTGTTGTCAAAAATAGTCATACTAAAATTCTACATACGTTTCAATACTCTTTTTTTCTTACAGTATCGATGCACTGATACCAGCTGTACAAACCTGTTATAAAAATATAGCCTATATTGAGGAGGAAAGTCCACTGATGACTGTGATGAGTTACCAGCATAAGCTTGTGTGCCAAAGGCTGTCTAATTCTAAACTTAAAAATACACTTATTTTAGTTGTTTTAACTACAAATTTAAATGAAAATGAAAAAAATAATGAAAAGGAAATTATACATTTACACACCTAAGGATTATATCAACCAAACAAGTAACTGCGTATGCGTCATCTACATGGGTTCTTATGAATAAGTAAGCAGCATTTAAAACAATAAACATATAATACGCACTGTTGTTCAATATTTAATTACAGTTTCAGATACATGATATTTTCATTTGCTACAAGCAGGATACATGAGAAATGTGTTCAACTCGGACACGCAGACGGTTGTCTTGGTGATAAACACTGTAAACAGCAACCATTCGCGTGTCCGCGCTTAATGCGCATCTCGTAGATGAAAAGCATTTTAGGGGGCCCTTGGCTTTTGGGGGCCTAAGGCAGTTGCCTACCTTTGCCTAATGGGTAAAACCCATTTATTCACATTTTTCACTTTCAGTCTCTCTGAAAAGTCTACATCGAACTGTCTTAAAAACATAAAGTAACATAAAGTAGTAAAGTATAAACAGCACTACTATACATCATCTCGTAATCCTCAGATGATCTCTATGGTTCTGTTGATGGGGTAATCCTGTGTTTGCATCTCTCTTGTATTTCCTCTTCTCCGACTACATGCGCAAATCAGTGGGCGTGGCTTAACAAGGCAATAATGTAGAAGTAGGCGTTGATCTTCTGCAGAGGCGGGCTTTCAATGCACTGTGATGTCATTATGTGACAAAATCCAGAACCAATCTTTTTTCAGCTTGGTTTTAATGAAAGCTGATTTTGAAAGTTTTGAGTTCTGAAACTTATAGGATGTTTGACCTGATATTAGTCAAAAGATCAAGGGATATTTGATTTCTATATTCTCATTTCTATTTTCTTTGTATTCAGCTACAGCGATAGTTGAATGCCATTGTACATGGTCCGTGTAACGCTTCACAATTCAATTTTCAGACCATATGGTGCAAATGCAAAAGAAAAAGGATTTGGGTGAATGCAAAGCTGAGGAAAACTTAATTGACTTGTTTACCGACCTGCCCCCTTTCCTTCCTCCTCCGTCGGTGAACTCTGTCCCTCTCGTTACTGAGTTTAGCCCAGAGAAAGTTCCAGTTCCCATGTCTAGCCCAGAGAGGGCTCCTGTTCCCCCGTCCAGCCCAGAGAGGCCTACCGTTCCTGAGTTAAGCCCAGAGAGGGCTCCCATTCCTGAGTTAAGCCCTGAAAGCCCGGAGGCTCCCAAATGCCCATCCTCCCGCCCGCTCCTGCCTCCTCCTCCTCCTCCGCTGTCGTTTGGCAGCCCCTCTGCTCGCCCTCAGCCCACCATCGGTACGGTGTGAGCTCCGCGGGTCTGCCATCCTCCATCATCACAGTGGCTGCAGAATCCCTGGTCTCCGCCTCCAGCCTCTGAGACCCAGACTCTGCCTCGGCCCGTTGACCCTGCAGCTCCACCATGGCTCCTAGCTCCCTCCGCTTTGCCTTGGCCCATCAGTCCACTGGCTCCACCAGGCTCCCTCGTCCCTCCGGCTCTGCCTTGGTCTGTCGTCAACCATCCGTCGCCTTGGGACTCCACTCCTCCGGCTGCACCTCGTCCCTCTGGCTCTATCAGGCTCCTCCATCCCTTCGGCTCCTCCTCAGTCCACTGTCACTCCGGCTCCACCGCGGCCTTCTGGATCCCCGCCTCCGCCTCGGTCGCCGGAGCCATCTGCTCCGCCTCGGCCCTCTGGATCATCCCCGGCGCCCTGGCTCATCGGCTCTCCGTCTCTGCCTCGGGCTCCTCCGCCACCTGCTCCGCCGCTGTTGGTCAGCCCCCTGGAGTCATCAGGCCTTCCTCCTTTATGGCTCCTCCCTCCGTCGGCTCCACCGTGGGTCGCCATTATGGCTGTGGCCTGGGTCCCTCCTGCCACCGCATCCTCCAAGTCCCTCCTGTTTCCTCCCTGGCCTCTGTCTGTCGTCCTCCTCCCGGGTGTCCGTCCTCCTCCCGAGCCTCCTCCAAGGTCCCACCTGTCCCTCCCCGTGTTGTTCCTTCAGTGCGAGGACGCGCCTTCCGGGAGGGGGGCGATATGTCACGCCCCTGGACTGTGTTTGAGTGTTTTATATATATATCATCATTTAAGGATAAATTTACTAGGAAAATTCGTAATAAGGTATCTGTTATTTGTGGTCAGACAGGAAGTCTGTCATAAATAATAGGCTACAATTTTATGTTTCAACATTTGTATTTTATTTCTCTTGTGTACGTTTATTATTAATCAATGTTAATAATAATTTTTACAATAAGTCTGTCGTTATTAACAGTTTAAAATATTTTGATTGATTGAAGTAATTGGGTAAATTTAAGTATTTTACATTAAAGACAACACAGATAGAATTAATAAAGTGAATATAAAAATTGCCATTAAGAATGTAAAAAATGCAGGGGGCAAATATTGCCCATTAATGGAAAATAAAATTTTTATTGATCTATCTATCTATCTATCTATCTATATATATATATATATATATATATATACTGTATATATATATATACACACATACATACATGTGTATTTTATTCACATATCTTTCTTTTTTATTATCTGTATGTTGTTGTCGTCTTGTGTACTGGAAGCTTCTGTCACCAGAACAAATTCTTTGTATGTGCAAACATACTTGGCAATAAAGCTCTTTCTGATTCTGATTCTCTGCACACACAATCATTCCGTTATTAGACAAAATATTCTCCATAGCAGGTATTCCCAAAATAATGAAATCTGACAATGGTCCTCCATTTTCCAGTAAAGAACTTGCAAACTTCACAACCCACCTTGGTATACACCATCGCAAGATCACCCTCTGCTGGCCACAAGCCAACGGTGAGGATGAGAGATTCATGAGAACTCTCAAAATGCAACGTCCACTGCCACTGTTGAAGGAAAATCATGGAAACAAGAGCTCCAGGGATTTCTACAGAGCAACCTCCTCATCAAACTAGTGGGACATCCCCAGCTGAAGTACTGTTTGCCAGACCCATCAACATCAAATTACCAGCCTTACGCAGTCCAGTGACTGATGACACACTTTGTTGCACAGATAGTTCCAAAAATGAGAAGATGAAACAATATTCTGACAACATGAAGAAAGCATCACACTCAGAGCTCAATATTGGCAATGCTGTACTTCTTCATGAAAAGAAAACAGAAAAACCCATGACACGCTACAACCTGAAACCTTGCAAATTCCAAATGAATCTTCCTGAACATCCTGTACAAATAGAGAGAAGATATCCTAAAAGAGAGAACAGAAAGAAATTCCCACGACTGACAGATTACTTAGAATGAGGCAAAAGTTAAACATCACATATACTGTATATATATATATGCATACACACACAGACATATAAACATATACAAAAAAAAACAGTTACTAAGTTCAGTTAAGTGCTATTTTATTTTAGGTCCTCCTATCTTAAAGTCAGTCGATACGTCTGTAATCCTGAGTTTATATTACTTGCTTAATCATAATTTAGGTTAGCGCAATTTCAAGAAAATATATCTTCAGTCGTGTTTGTATTACATTTTTCATGCTTATACTTAGGGTGAAGTATTATTATTGTTATACATACATTCTTTTTTTCTAAAACAAAGGGAGGGATGTAATGTTGTAGAGAGTTTTCCCAGAATGCTTAGCTGTCGAGTGCTGATGAAGCATGGCCGTGTGACATGAACAATCAGTAAACGAACATTTGTATTGTGCACAAAGTTGTTTGTCTGAAGTCATTACACTGTCATGATAATTTTATGGTGTCTTTGTCGTTTTCTTGAGCTGTTCCTTTAAGAGCATCTGAACTCTTATTTTAGTATCACTGAGATACTATTAGCTTTTCTTAACATTTTAAATCAGTTTTAGTCTCCATACAGTTGTGATACGTCATATTCATGTAGCAGCAGTGGTGATGAGCTCATCTGCATGCTCGTCGTCCTCATCGGGGTCTCGACCTGACGGGTTGTTTCTCTGATGATCCAGAAAGCACAGACTCCACCAAAACCATCGCTCAATCCAGCATTAATGCTGTGGATGAAAATATTTATCACAAGCATAATTAAGACAGAAGGCTTTCTTTGTCTCAGACTTTCTTTCTCTTAGACAAAAATGATGTACATGAAATTATGACCCTAAAAGCATCAGTTTTACTGAAATCACTCAAAAGAAATGAAAAATATCTGTTGATCTTTACTAAAAACTTGTAGGAAGATTAAATTTTGCTTTCAAATCTCTGATATGATCTGATATTACTGTTGTTGTTTTTTTTATTTTTTTTTATTGAGCATTATAATCATCCATGTGTGATCATGTGCGTGTCAGAGCGACTCAACATTGAACCTTATTTAGAAAACAAATTTACGTCTTCAGGATGACAGTAATGTCCGCACGCTTGTGGATTCAGACATTTGCATGGTTATTAAAACAGCTCATTAAAATCCACACACACGGATGTGAAACATATCTGGTTACAGGAAACACAACAAACACAGTCAGAATCAGTAAATCCGTTGTTGTTTTATGTTGCTTATGATTCTCTGTTATGTTTCTCAGTATGTGATTCTAATGAAACTAATAAAATGTAATTTTATTAATCATGATGGACTGACTGCAAAATCACTTATTCATTTTAGTCACACTTATAAATATGTGGATGTCATTCATTAGGTCACAAAATATCAAAACAAATGTCACTTACTGTACAGAAACGTTCACATTCCAACAAAGTGTAAAAACATGACATTTTCTGTATCTAAATCCTGTCAGAAATCCATTAATGAAAGTTATTTTTTCATTAGCATCTTCAAATTGTTTCTACCATTATGAAATATTTGTTTTCTATTTGTATATAGTTCTCTGTGAACAAAGGTAACTTGATAAACTGGACTTGAACGTAAGCAGATATTGAGATTCTCAGTTAAAGCCCAAATAAACATGATTTGCATGTTTTCAAATGAACTGTTTGTCAGAGTGCTGCGGCTCATTATCGAACAGCTTCACATGTGGACGCATCAAACTCTCTCAACTCTTGGACTGTGGACTTTATCTCAAGAATGTAATAAGAAAATGATTAAAGATTTATTAGCTCTGTCTGTAGAAAACAAGATATAACGTGTGTCTCTAACAGGCCGCTGTCTTTGGGAATTATGTCTCAACAAAAGCAGAATTTGCTGTGGCTGATGATCGTCTGTTTTTCTACACGCCAGATAAGTATGTTGCTTTAAAAAATGCATTTATTAACTTAAACAGAAACATATGCCAATAAATATGTTGTTTGGTACACATTAGAAAACAAACTAAAATGTAAACAAAAAATAACAATTAAAAAAATATATATGAATGTGTATGTAAATGTTAATGCAATATAGATACAGAGTGTTATACCATGTCATACCTCCTTTTCTAATAGTCTAATAATGCTGTGTTTGTGCAGCCTGCTCAAAAAAACTGATAATCCAAGTCAATTCGACAGATCGATGTTTCTGGAAGGAAAGTAGCTCAACAGTTCCAGGTAGATGTGAAATATACTGCTAACATGACTGTGTGATACTGCATATTTATTATCTGAAAGCACTTGTGACGACTGACAAACTCATTGAGTTCATTTCTGTTTTTCTTTCAGATATAACTCGGACATGTCTATCAAATGATGAAGAGAATATGACACTAAACATCTCTTCTCAGGGTAAAACCTGTGTATATTTTATGTATAAGCCATTCTTGAGTTCAAAACTCTTTAAAATTTATTTTTGTGAAATGTTTTCTTGTTTCAGGACAGTGCCGTTCATACAGTTTCAACATAAGAAAAGAGGGGAACCAGTATGTAGTCGGAATGAATGACACAGTTGAAGGGATAAATTTGTGGTTATTGCCAAATGGTAATTGTAATGGTAAGTCATCAGTCCTGAATTCATCAGCTGTGTGTTATTCTACAACAGACAGTGTAATTGCAGAGATTGTGGGTATTTTCTTGTCCTTGTTTTGTTTTGTTTTATTTCGTTTTTTTTATCAGGGTAAGTGCATAACAACCCCTACACACACACACACACACGCACGCACGCACACACACACACACGCACACACACACACACACACACACAAGTACAAAATAAGTGTTTGATCAATGCTTGTGAGTGATCATTGCTGTAGTTAGAACATTCTATCAATCAGTGCAAACGAAAAACATAATGACACACGGCTGAAATTATCTATAAATCAAACTAAAGATCAACCAGTAATTGGTCTTATGTGTAAGTTTTGTCCATAATCGCATATTGGTTTTGTAATATTGGATCCACTGATAAATGGCCCCATCTTGTGGGCGTTTTGACACACACACACACACACACAAGTACAAAATAAGTGTTTGATCAATGCTTGTGAGTGATCATTGCTGTAGTTAGAACATTCTATCAATCAGTGCAAACGAAAAACATAATGACACACGGCTGAAATTATCTATAAATCAAACTAAAGATCAACCAGTAATTGGTCTTATGTGTAAGTTTTGTCCATAATCGCATATTGGTTTTGTAATATTGGATCCACTGATAAATGGCCCCATCTTGTGGGCGTTTTGACAATTGCACACAAGACCACAGGAACAGGGGTGACATGTATGTTCCAGGATGGCCACCATATGTACCTTTTAATAAAATCCACTACTTAAAAAAAAAAAACCTAAATTAAATTTAGGTTTTCTACATAACCATTTATTTTTCTAATAAGCATCTAAATAATTACAGCTATGTAGAAATTAATTATTATCTCCACGAAAGATTGCAATTTGAGTATAAGATCTGCGTAAACAGATAAAACAGCGCTCTGTCAGCAGGCATTTCATAATCTAAACATTATTAATAATTCTGATAACATGCTAGTTGAGATGGAATGTGAAATTGCAATTATGTATTCACTTAAGACTTTCCTGATGATCTATACTTATTCCAGTGAAGTAGTTGTCTTCACTCTTTAACGTATTAATCAACACATAGACCTTTTAAACTATAGTTTAACATGAATAATTAAACTTATGCAAATCTTGTAATTTATTTGTTCTCTATTTGAAAACATTAGACTTTGTAAATTTATTTAGGTTTTCTACATAACCATTTATTTTTCTAATAAGCATCTAAATAATTACAGCTATGTAGAAATTAATTATTATCTCCACGAAAGATTGCAATTTGAGTATAAGATCTGCGTAAACAGATAAAACAGCGCTCTGTCAGCAGGCATTTCATAATCTAAACATTATTAATAATTCTGATAACATGCTAGTTGAGATGGAATGTGAAATTGCAATTATGTATTCACTTAAGACTTTCCTGATGATCTATACTTATTCCAGTGAAGTAGTTGTCTTCACTCTTTAACGTATTAATCAACACATAGACCTTTTAAACTATAGTTTAACATGAATAATTAAACTTATGCAAATCTTGTAATTTATTTGTTCTCTATTTGAAAACATTAGACTTTGTAAATTTATTTTGCCTATGGTTAATATTAGTGTTGCTGCTGCTGTTATAAACAAAAAGATGCACATTTTTAATATGAAGAAGATATCTCACAAACATGGCGGCGCGTTCACACGCTGCGGCTTCTCTCTCTCCCGATAGAAAGGTGTTTTCGTGTTTTTTGTCTTGTGAGTCGCAGTGTTACATTTTGACAGCTTTTTTTTTTTTTTTTTTTAAGAGGACTGAAATTACTGATGATACATATCAACAAAAACTGTGTTGTTATTACAAAACAGAAGTAAAACAAATATATTTTGGTTCTGCATATCAGGTATTGGGCACATAAACATGCAAATAATCTGTATTGGTATCAGATATAAAAAAAATAAATATTGCTCGATCTCTAAATCATTTGAATGGAGTCTGTATGTTCGTTGTCCTGTAAGCTCTGCAATGAGTTCCTGAGAAAGAGCAGATCATGGTACATCATGGACTATTTTTAGTTATATTTAGTGAGTGCTGTACAAATTTCATCTCTTCCATTCTGCAGGATGCACATTAAATGATTTTGTCACTTGCCAAAACAACGGCTTCCCCCGACACCCTGGTCTACTCAATGATGTCTGCATATTCAAGGCAATCTTGTCAGACACACCCTCAGGTAGGATTTTGTCCTCTTCTACGGTGTTTCCTATTTCAGTTTAAGTCTTCAAATACAGCAGTAGACAGTCATGTACCGTAACGGAACAGGTGCACAGGCCACATACATATGAGCTGTAACAGCCTATCAATGAACGTGTCAGTATTTTTGATCCATTTTCTGATCCAATCCATTAGGATTGTATGAAAACATATTGTATGTTTTTAGCATTCGTCATCAAGCTTCATGGTGCTCAAACAAACAGTTTATATTCTGAAAAACTACCAATTAATTTTTTGACTTCATATGTGGTATGATTTGATGATTATGTTGAATTGTGTGTTGTCATTGTCTCTTGAGGTTGTTCACAAACCCCTCATCTCAATCCTAAGAAAAGATGTGCAAACGCAACATATAATAATATATGCGGAGGTATGGTTTCTAAAATATTTTTCAATATTTTCAGTCACCTGTTTCAAAGCAAACATTAAAAGCATAAGCATAATTAAGCATAATTAAATTGCCAAGCCTATTTAAATCCAAATAACTACATAAAGGAAATTATGTTGCTTCATTATTTTACAGATAAACCAACAGCTGGTATAAATTAATCCATCACAGTTACGCTCATGTTATGTTGAAGTTCTGTGTTTTCTGAAAGTCTGTTAGCTGCGAGTTTTTGTTGGCACTTACAGTATTGCACTTAAACAGACAAATACCCACAACATTATGTCACAAATATATAAATAAAACCCAAACCTCATTTATTTCTGAAGGAAGAGGATTCAGATACGTTCTGTCACTTGAAGGGAGTGAATTGATGTGTGCCAAATGTGATAACACAACTGATTCTTCTGAAGAGAACACAACTACTAGTTTCACACCACATGATCCAACTACAACTACAACTCACGATCCAACTATCACTACAACAGCCCATGATCCAACTACAACTACAACTCACGATCCAACTATCACTCTCGATCCAACTATAACTCTCGATCCAACTATCACTACAACAGCCCATGATCCAACTACAACTCTCAAACCACCCGAGTCAACTGGCAGTCCAAGTACAGTTGAGCATGGATATACTGATCCCTCAAAGGCATCGTAAGTGTGCAGTTACCAGTGGATATAAAACTCAATAATCAAATGCCAAGCAATTCAATCAATATTGCAGATTGACCTTGTCCGGTCTGGAGTCTAAGATGGAAGAGATGGAAAAAAACAATAAAAGCAATGAGGCGATTGTCACGAAGGATGCTGTTGGTCTTCTTCATGTTCAAGCCAAGAACACAGAAACCAAAGAGATCAACATATGCTTCTCTTCAGATCATGCTGTGGTAAACCTAAGAGCTAAGATGCATTAAAACATGGTATGATTCCTCAGTTTTCATGGCAATTCTTCTTTTCACAGGCTGAGAGTCAAAGTGACAAGAATACAAACTGTTCCTGGTCTATAAAGATTTCCAAGGAGGCTTTTGATAAATCACGTCTTGAAAACAATGGAAGTGCATTTGTTGGAGTTCTACGATTCAAAAACATGAGAAATGAGGTACTGTATGCTACTGTATGTTTTGTTTTTTTTACTTTTAAGTCTAATATGTAAAGATTTTTTAAAGTTTCTACTTTTGGACAAATGTTTGTGATCAATTGTATTCACACACATATTTATATCTGATTCATGATTGCTCTCTTGGTTTCTGATTTAGGAAGAAACTAAAAATCAGACTGTTTTGAACAATGAGGTTTATGGAATAACGATGAGGGCCAATATCTCCAGCCTTACTGACAATATTGAGATGTTCTTTACAAATAATGATAAGGTAATGAAGATTTTATTGCAGAACTTATTTTGTTATAATGATCAGACAATGTGAAGGCAAAATAAAAATAAACATGTTCTTGCAGAACAGTAAGGCGTCCTGCAGTTCTTGGGATGGCAAAGGTACATTCTAAGTGTACTGTACTGATCAGTTTCAACAAATATATAATACATTTTTTATAATCAATTTAATTCATTTCTCTCTCTTCTTTGAAGGAGAACTTAATTGGACAACGTTCGGCTGTGTGACAGAAACAAACAAACAATCAAACACCATAAAGTGCTCTTGTTCACATCTGACGTTCTTTGCAGTGCTGATGGTGAGAAGCTTCTCAGAGAAGAAGAACTTATGCTTTCATAATTCATGTTTCATTCAAAGACCCCATTAAATCAATATATGCAAACATATATAAACACACACACACACACACACACACACATATATATATATACAAACACAGGGTTTGAAATGAACCTTTTCACTCACCAGCCAATTTGGCTACTAAATTTTTAAGTTACCGGCCATCCAGAACTTTTCTGATATTTTCCGAAAAATATCAGAAATAAACCAAATTATCAAAGTTACAGATTAGATTTAAATATATTTATTATTAAATCTGTAATTGTAATTCTGGATCATTGAATTGCTTTTAGCTTTACAACAGTCAATCACTTTTTGCGGATACCATTAAAATGAAATAAAAACTACATTTCTGTTATAATTCTAACTGCATTTACTTTGCCGTAAACTAGCAGACAGGCGATTAACATGATCTTATGTAAAGTTCTACCTAATGTACATTTCCTTACGTTTGAATGACACTGAAATGTTAGTATAGGGCTGGACAATAATTCAATATCAATATGTATCGCGATATAATTTTTTTCAATAACGGTGATATGATTTTTAAACACATTTCCGATATTTCGATATACATTACCAATGTTTCCCATACATTGATTTATTTGTGGCATTTGATTTCGTTGAATAAACATGAGCACTGCAAGTTTCAAAATCATAACACGGCGCGGGTGTTTTATATGAATGTATCTCTGAAGGGAACCGACTGTCTTCAGAATAGTTTAGATGGCATTTTAATTTTTATCTGATAAAGAAGCATTCATGAGCGGAGCTGCTTTGATTACAGACATTACTGGAGAAACCGCTACTTTTATCGCTCTAAAAGCGCCTCCTGCTGGCAAAGAATGAGTTTGCATTTTCAATAATAAGCCCGTCTCCAGCAACATGTTTTTGTTGTTGCTCAATTTTTGTTGTTTTCTGCAGCAACTCAGACCACTTTTCATATTCTTTATCCTGGCTGAAGCACATTTGTTTCAAACTATAAGAATAATCAGCCTACACTACCAGTCAAAAGTTTTTTAACAGTGAGATCTTTTATTTTTTTTTAAGAATTCTCTTTTACTCACCAAGGCTGCATTTCTTTGATCCAAAGTAGGCCTACAGCAAAAACAGAAACATTTAGAATTATTTTTGCTATTTAAAATAACTGCTTTCTATTTGAATTTTATTTAGCGCTGCAATTTTATTTGATTTATAATACTTTTATTTAGCAAGGATGCTTTAAATTGATCAAAAAGATTATAAATGTTACAAAATATTTCTATTTCAGATAAATGCTGTTCTTCTGAACTTTCTATTCATCAAAGAAACCTGAAAAAATCTACTCATTTGTTTTCAACATAATAATAA